TTTTTTTTTTTTTTTTTTAAATTTAGTGTATGTATATGAGTATGCCGATTTATAGTGTTATGTAATTTAATAAGTAACATTTTAATTTGTTATCAGTTCTCATATATAGTATATTAAAATTGTCTTTTGTCAATCTTTAATTTAACATCTATATTACACATTTACAATAAAAATAAATTGTGTAACACAAATTCTATGGAGCCACCGAATGACTCTTTGTGGAGTCATCGATGACTAGATGACACGTGTCATCTGATAATTCTATTGGCAGGGCACATATTAATACATAGTTTGTGAATAATTGTAGATGACACCATAAGTCGAGTCATCCGATAGTTTCATAGCCAAACTCATTGGATGGTTCAGCTTCATCCACGGTTATTGACAAATTGTGTATTGACACGTGTTCTGCAATAAATACACATTGGATATGACGTCAAGTTATGAATGGCTACATAAAATTTCTGACTACATTTATTTAATATATTTACTAAACTTATTAAAAAAAAAACAAATTATCACATTTCTTTATTAATAATTAGATAACTATGATTTGATTTTTTTTTTTTTTTTGGAATATCAGTGAATAAGAAACTACGACTTTCCCATTTGGGAAAAGTCTTAATTTCTGTTTCTTTTATTTCCATCTTAATTAGCATCTTATTGCAGTTGTACGACATTACATTTACTCTTCTAATAGTGCTCCTCTATTAATCTGAATACTTTGAATGAGAGTCCACTATATTTATGTGGCCTAGCTTAAATTATGACTTGATTTATGAAAAGGCTTTTATGAATTCGTATATTATGTATACATGTAATATAATATACATAAAAGTAAATTTATGATTTTCGGTTTTACTAAATCAACAGTTGGCTCCATAGTGGAGTCAACTTTCTATATTCAACAAATAAACCTATCATATTAATGAAATTATAATAGTGTTATTTAAGTAATCAAAGAATATGGTAAGTTTACTTGTATATAGAAGGTTGGTTCCACTACGAAGTCAACTGTTGGCTTCATATCAAAACCAGAATGATTTTGATGCAATAGCTAATTGGTATTAATATTATCATCCGATCACGTAACATTTAATTTTATTTTATATTAATAACCTCCACAAACAACATTTTTTTTAGTATTTTATTAAAGAAATATGAAAAATTTTACACCAAAAACTTTAACTACTAAAAGAAGGAACATTTTATAGAAATATTATTATCTTTTTAATTTTCCACCCGAAAAATTTTATGTTTCAATTATAAATTATATCAACAGCCATGAAAAGTGTTTACTCTTTTCAACTTTTTTTGAAATTTCGGGGAGTACAGTATTTGCGCTTATACTAAAAACAATGTATGTTAATGTGAATTCGCAAAGCCAATAAATAAAGACGAACTTTTGTGTGTAGTATTTTGTGGATAGATGGTAACTGAGCTTCCCGACTCGGGTCGTTCTCAAAGGAAGGCTGTTCGGAGCTTCGTTCACTATCTAGTCGTCAAAATCACATAACCGAAAACAAAGTCCAACACATTCTACTCGCTTGATGGAATTGAATTGCACGAAATTAAACTAAGAATGTAAGAGAAGAATCTAAGAACAAATGATGAAAAATGCAAGATTGGGAAGAAAGATCGAAACTTTGGTTCCACTGAGTCTTCATAACTCAAGAAAGACGAAAATAAACAAAAGAAAACATGCAAGCAAAGTGATCCAAAGTATTCTAACACGAGCTTTCTACACTAAATCATCACGCTTTTAGTAAAGTCGAGACCTTTACACGAGATAAGCACGTATCGAATCCTAACACACTTGAACAAACAATACAAATCAAGAAAATAACCTAGAAACGAGCATAAACACGAAATTCAAAGAACAAACTCGAAGTAGTAAGTTCTAAGCAAGGTACTCACTCTCCTATCGCATACCCGGATGAAAGTAGTGCGTAAAGCTCTGAACTTGGATAAAAATAAGCCTGCCGAATTTTGTCGAAAATTAAGTTATGAACCACCAAACCAAAGCACAAAAATAAAGAGAGAAAAATAGAGAGGATTTCACAACTTAAAAAGTTGGAAAACGAAGGATTGTTCCCAAAAATACAAAGTACAATGTCTATCTATAGCTACACCACAAACACACACTAAAATACACACATTTAATGAGAAAAACTCGCAAGTTAGGTGGATTTCGCGAGCAAAAGCCAGATTTTCGCGAGCTAGCAGGTGCTCGGGAGTGTGGCTTGGGGGCTTGGGCGGAACTCGCAGGTTAACGAGGCTTTGTGGGCGCGAGCGGTGGAACTCGCGGGCTAGGCGGACTCGCAGGCGCGTGCCGTGGATTTTGCAGGCTGGAGCAGCTCGCGGCTAGCGCTGGAGTTTGCGCGCGCGACAGAAAGCTCGCGGGTTAACGCTGGAAATCGCAGGCTGCTTTTCAGACGCAAGTTGCTGGCACGCCGCGTGTCAATTTACTTCGACGCGAGCACTTCCTCAGGTGACTTTCCGGCATTTTACGCTGAATTTCTTGCCGACTTTCCGATGCGCGATTTTCCTACAAAATTAAAAGTAAAAAGAGAAATAAAAAAGCACAAGACACCAAAATACACGAAAACACATAAACGAGCAAACACGACTAAATGGACCGGGAAAAACCTAAAATAGAATAAAACAAGCACAAATAAAACACATAAAAACTCATGAAATAACAACAAAAACAGCTTTCACGAGAGCGTCTCACTCTCCCTCAGAATTATTTCATTAAACAAGTGTTTGACCAACAAGTACAAATAGGATTTACTTGTCCAGACTCCCTCTAGCTAACCTACTTTGTACTCCACCTATCTAACTATTTTTCTGGCCACGACATTGATATAGCCATATTGTCATATACCGGTTCAAGTGCTGATTACCCGACCAAATATTAAACATGTGAGTCGACCTAAGCTAGTCGACATCCAGGAGTCGACCTCCCTCGAAGTCGACTCCTCCTATGAGCCTCCTAATGACTGCCTTCAACTCAATGATGAATCCCAGACGATTCCTCGAAGACGGACTTCCATAGTCGACTTTCCTCAAGGAGACGAGCGGACAGAACTTGATTTTTCGATGTTCATGCGCGACCCAAGTCGACTCGATGACACTCGAAGTCGACTTATCCTGCTTCGAGGCACCAAGAGCTCCTACAACTTCAATACACTTAGACATAGTTTAGGATAACCTCCGAACAAGAGAATTCACATGGGATAAGAAGGAATCTGGATATTGACTAAGGGGTGGACGGAATGCGAACCGAACATGGCATTTTGGACACTTCGCGTAAGTCGGCCAGGGTATTTTGGGTACTTCAGGTAAGTGTTTCGCCTCTATATAAAGGGGCTGAGGTAACTCCAAACCCTAACTTTTGACGCTCTACATTCAGTTCTCCTCAGCTGTTGCTCATACTAAGCAGAGCTCACTTCATCTCTCATACTGACTTGAGCGTCGGAGGCTCTTCACCGGAAACACTTCCGATGTTGAGTTGTTGCAGGTGTTTGTAGCGGCTGAAGGACCACTTGGAAGTGGTTCGAACAGATTGGAGCTCTTTACCACCGGTTCACTCTAGATCTAGGAGATGACCCATCAAATTGGCGCCGTCTGTGGGAAGTTCATGAAGGAAGTAAGAGCTTTGCACCTAGTTCTGATCTGTTTGACATGGCGGAGAAGGAGGTATTGCAAAGGAATTTGAGTGAGGACTTCAGGGGAACATGGACAGATAAGCGGCCTCCGCCGATTCTCGGCCCTA